GAGCGTTTTAGGCATTACGGAAGAATAAATGAAAATATAGGTGTAGAATGATTTTCTCTAATGATTATATTCATATAAAAGGGCGAAACTGGTAAAGATCGGAATCGACGACAAGGGACACCGATTACTTGGTTTTAAATGCCTAGGGATCATTTAAACAGTGCACAAATCCATAGCGCTTTGACACCTGCTGTGTTAGACGGGATATTTCATCTTAAAATACCTTCGACGGCCTGCGAGCAATGTACTGATTTAGCCAGTAAAACGACTCGATTTATATGTGTGTTCTGCAATGTTTCAGTACCTTTAAACCTTGGTCTTCCTAAATATGCAAGTATGCTTGTATGAGCAGGAACGATCTGTTCTGCAATCCGAATTGGAATAATTATTCGCTTAATAACCTATTTTGGCTTAAAAACCCATATTTTCTTGTTCACGTATTTGAATATTAAATGTGCCAAAAAAAATTTTAATAGTGCATAAATTCAGCTCGAGTATTATTGGGTAAGGGGTAATTTTTGATACTACCTGTAAGAAATAACGTTGTCATGTCATTTTTCGGATTCTACTGTTTATAAATCCATAGAGTGATGAGAGGAGATTAACAGATTTTGTTGCTGTCATCGTATCTGGAGTATCAGGGGTTGAGTACCCAGATTAATATCTCACCCTATGGCCAAGGCCATGTTCTTCGTCGCAAGCAAGTCAGCCTCTAGCAGTTGCTTTAGGGTGTGACATGTTGCACTCCGACGTGCCTGCGGCTATTTTTTTGCTCCCCACAGAAGAATGGTTTTGGATAAGTTTCCGTTCTGTCATACCATGACAGTCGCCGATTTCCGATTTCTTTAGACAGCATTTTCAGGCCGGTTGTCTTCAACATCTTTTCATTCTTTATTCAGAGGAACCATCGCACTTTCAGAATGTTTCGTTGGCAACTATGCTGAGATGTGTCCAGCATTTTCCCATGGCATTTTAAAAAAGTGACTATTTCGAGTCTGTTCATCAGGATTGAGAAAACAGCGGCTTTCAGTATGGTGATCGTTGTTGCTGCCGGAAATATTGGTCTTGCGACACTCTCCACTCTACTTTTACATCGCAACTTCCACCTCTTACTAATACAGAGCCAGTGTACTTGAAGTTTTGTCCTCCTCTATGGTCTTTCCACTCTATTCAGTATTTAGGTTGTTAGTCGAGTCAGTTGATCGCATGATCTTCGTTATAGTGAGGTCAACTTCTAGATCTACTATCGAGATCACTTCGCACACTTCTAAAGCATCAGTAAACTATCGGCGGAGTTGCTTGGCAGTACAGTGTCAACAGCGTAGTCGAGATCTGTTATCAATGCTGCTGGGTACCTTAGGCTGAATCGTCGTCTGATAGTAATTCCCTCGCTATTGTCGGAGAAGACGCTTCTCCACATTAATAAAATTTAATCGTTGTCGAACATTGTCCATCGACTCTTTTGTCTGATTCTGTTTGCTCATTGTTTGGAGACGAACGTTTTAAGATCTTGCCAAAGATGAAAACTCGCTTGGTCGATTTTTGAAACACCAAGGCAAAACGGACAAAACCAACGCCGGAAAAATTATGGCTGCCGTAGGCAGGGCGCAAAGCTACACGGCGCAACAACGGTAAGTATGTGTGCCTCAGATTCGCAGATAAATGTCTGCTACATTCCAGCCGAATATTTGTTTATCTCACTATCAGTTCATGTGTCTGTTCAGATATTTTCATCCATGGGCGATTATGTTGTTTGTTCTGTACTGTCCGTACGCATATCTACATATCATAATTTTTGTTTTATGTTTAGTGTTTTTCTTGAAAAATTTAATATTTATAATTTGAAGCTTCTAAATTTGATGATGATGGACTCGGAAATATTTTCGTATATTAGCGTGTACTTTGCGGTGTGTGGAAATGTTTGATTAATGCCATGATCACTTCTTTTGCTGATCTTTATCACTGAAGTATTCTCAGATTGCGGCGTTCTGTTAACAGTTTCAAAAACTGCTTTTCTTCTTTTAAGCAAACTTAGATTTAGAAGAATCGATTGCAACGGAAATTTTTTATATTAATTTGAACATCAATTCCGATATAAGTTCAAAATTGAGGCAAACGTTTGTTGTCTACTTGTTTTGCTGTTTCGCTCTTAAGACTTACCGTCTGAACTGTTGCTGAACCAAAATGAAGATGGGCGCTACCAAGTTTATT